TCTTTCTATCACATTATTCTGAAAACTTCAACAAATTATTGTTTCACTTTTAGCTCCCCTGGCTCAACCCACCATTTCGGGTTACTCTAACCCAAGCTGGATCCTGATATCCCATCCTTCTCTTAAACTATATTTGTTAGCTCCCATAGGGCATAACTGAGATAGGTGTGGCCAATTATACACACCTCTATTTCTGTTTAATGTAACTTAGAATCCTTTTATTTCTCTGCCTGACATGGAAATTCGGATAATCTTCATTAACTGGGTACCTCGTACCCTTTCTTTATTAACTGTTGAAACTTATACTTTTACCTTCTGATACTCCCATATTCTGTTATTCGCGGGGTATGTTAGATATTCCCTCCTTATGGTAACATGGGAAATTCGCACATCTAGTATGCACGATCTATTAGGGTCTCAAACAGGGCCACATCGTCATGAAATCTCTCTCTACTAATGCCCTTACCTGCTGCTGTATTAGCCCTCTAGCTAGCTATAATTTTTCTGGTGGAAAGCATCTCTATATCATTAAAACATAAGCTTTGGCACGAACTCTTATAACTCAGCTCTATAGCACGATTTGGATTTGAAAGAAGGGTAACAGACTCCAAAATGCCTTATAGCTTCTAGTTTATATAATGTGGTGCACAATACATCTATAAACAAGGCTCTACTAGACACAACTTGTAGACTCCTTAGGATAAAATTGCTCTGATACCAACTTTGTCACGCCCCAAACCTGAGGAGGCATGGCCGGCACCCGGTGCCATACTCGGCCCTAGCGTACCACTCTATAACTGTGAACTCTAGAGGTGTAACCCTCAACCTAGGGCGATGAGGCTATATTCTGAATCATCTGAAAATATCGTCTCTCTCAGCTGAGGGGTGAAAACACCCAAAAGCTCATATATATATATAAATGTGCAGGCTGCCGAGGTAGCATGAACATCTATTGATATACAAACTATACAGATTTTGTCTACAAGCCTCTAGAGATAGATGAACTGTCTCATGGTCGGGACAGGGCCTCGACTTACCCATCAAACCTGTATATATAAAATGGACTCCAAGGTCTAGACCTGGTAACTCTGGGGAAGTAGAGCTTAACAACCAAGCTGATGTCTGGCTCTATCTACTGGGAAGGTCTATCCAGTTGTCTATCAGGACCTGTAGGCATGAAATGCAGCGTCCCCGACAAAAGGAACGTCAATACGAAATAATGTACTGAGTATGTAAGGCAATAAAATAATTGAAAGCTAAAACTGAACTGATAATATAATAACTAAAAGTAACTGGGAGTCAAAGATGATCTAAAGATATGCTCACCTGCTGATACTAACTCAACTCTCTAAATATAGTACGTATAATAGGTGTCTGGCCCTATAAATGCTCGGCACATATAACTGCTCTACCGTAGTAGGCTCGCTCATATGAGCTTGGCCATACTAGGCTCTGTATCTCAGCCATTCTGGGATCGATCATAGGCGCTCGACCACAGTAGGCTCGGTATATAACTTATTATTTGATTAGAGGTTGCCCGATAGAGTCCTGCCAACCGATTATAGCTTGATGGTGGTGAAAATACTGTAATACTGTATATATATAGACTCTCTACTCTCTTGACTGGAAGAAGAAAATACTTAACTGAATATAAAGTCTTTATAAGTAAGGATACTGTAACTTATGAAACTATGATAATGTGCACAAGTTCAAGAATACGAACTTCTCTTTATGTCCCGTTAACAAACACATGTAGTTATGGGATCATACCAAAATGAAGGAAATGTTTAGTCTTAACATAGCTTATCACAATCTGTCCAATAACCACATTAAACTCGTCTCGTTTCACCTTAATCTACAACAACGATAACAATACTATCATCAAGTTATGGAAGGTACAACTATCGCACAACAAACGACAAACTTATTTTATAATTAAACGGGCAACATCTCCCCTATAATCTTTACATCCTCCCAATTCGACATAACACAACCAACAACAAGAACCCAATAATAACAACATGTATACATCATTTTCGAACCTTATTTCCATCACAAAATACTACAAAACAACCCACACACCCCAATTAGTTCATACACAAAACAACAACCCTAGTAGTGTCAAACAACTTGAAAATGTAACGCCGAACGACCAGCCAACCTCCCTGCCATTATGTGGTGTTTCTCCAAACCATTTCTCCTCCCAAACTCCATAAATACAGTAGCAAAAGAGACAACCCAACTGCAACACGAAACAGGCCACAAAATAGTCCCACAAGCTCAATAACTCAAAATTGATTTTTGAGTTTACTAAAACACTTTTCGACTTGTCTTTTCTTTCATATTGAGCAATACAACCAACAACACATAATTAAGACTCTTATCCTATAAAAAAGCCATGAATTTAACTTAAAAATAAGTTTACAACTAGCCAACAATGACACAACAACAAATAGCATACCACTCTTTCGAAACTAGCTAGGTCTAGTCTTTACGATCGAGTTACAACTCGTACAAGCATATATAATGGAAGGAGAATCATAAATTTATCTTGGACATAGTAGAACCCAAGAAACCTAGCTCTTCTTCATCCAATCTAAGCCCCCCAATGCAGCTACAAGAAAGAGAAAGAGAAACTAACAAGCTGCCCGGTGTTTTCAGCACTAGAATCACATCGTAACACCCGAAATAACCTAGGGTTTGTGTGGGATTTTTGGGGAGGAGTTGCATGGTTTTAATATGGTTTTCTTGGTATGAAGTATGAGTGAATGAAATGGGTTAATAAGACTTTAAAAGTCCCCTCTTGGTCGACTTTGTGAGCTTTTAATCGAGGCCTCTTTTTGCCAAGTAGGTGATGCACCTACTTGTCACCTACCATATGCGCAGTCTCGCGAAAATATGAATATCTCTCTACCCCAATGTTGTATCAATGAATGGTTTAATCCGTTAGAAACTAGAATCCTAGATATTCAATTTGATAGGTAGATCATCCCTTAATTCAGAGTACGTTGGGAGAAAAGCTCAGGTACATTTGACCTAAGTTTCAACACATTTATGAATGTAACTTGTGATGACCTTTTCCAACTTTTGTTCCACAACTCGCTTGGCTTCAAAATATAACACACGACTATCATACGACTAAAATAACTCATAATATAATCTCCTTATAATGTTATGCACCCTAGTCTCACCTCCAAATGTACATGTTATAACATTCCCAACTTGTCGACTTTCGACGAAACTTATTTTCTTCAATTCGTTTAGCTTCTAAGCCTTCAAACCCTCTTGGTACTTGCATCTCATGATCTTAAATATTTATAACCTCCAAGTTAACATGATTAACTTACTTTATGTATTTTCAAAGATGATCTCATTTCTGATTTTACATCAATTAACTTACGACTTACTCCCACGTACTAAAATATGGAGTGTAACATTACTATAAGCATTGAAATACAAATTAACAAAACCATGACAATTGATATGAAAAATTGAAATAACCGAAAGAAAGATCTTAATAGTTTTCTTAGAAAGTAATAAGTCCATCCATTACCTGTTAATATGAGCCGCCCATAATATTCATCTTATTCACATGCATTTGCAAAATCAATCATAATAGCCAAAGACACAACTAATTTCTTGAATAGCCGTAAGAAAATCTGGCAGCTTCACCTGAGGAATCAATAGTACGGAGAACATTGATGGAGGAGAATTGAACAGGGATAAGGAGAATAGGGCTTCAGTCTTGTGTTTACACAGTAAATTACTTTTAGACAAATGTAGCACACGTGTTTTGAGGGGAAAAGGAATGATGAAAGAATTATCAATTTACCGCTACTTCATTTATATTTACAAAAGTGCCCCAGTTCGTACACTCCCAACTCCCCCCTACTCCCACTTCTATATAATAACTCTCTCAGTTCCAGTTTCTGTGAACCTATTTCCTTTTTGGTCTGTTTAAAAAAGAATGACCCCTTTCTAAATTTGATAACAACTTAGCTTAAACTTATAATTCTACCCTTAATGAGAAGCTTTTATAACGTAAAAATAGCACGGTATAGCCAGTTTTCGGACTGGTCAACCAGCATTTACGAAGTCAATGAAAAATAGCTACTATTTTGCTGCAACAGAGACCGGTCCAGCATAATATACTGGAGTTCGGTGCACCTGTGTATGAACTCCAGCATATTATGCTGGACCGGTATACTTTGCTGACTCCAGTATAATATACTGGAGACTAGAGCACCGATGCTCCAAACTCCAGTAGATTATACTGGACAATTATATTTGCTAGAACTCCAGTATATTATGCTGGAGTTCTAGTGTACTTATGCTGGAACTCCATCATATTATGCTGGAGTTCCAGCATACTTATCCTGGAAATTCAGTATAATATGCTGGAGTTCAAGCATACTTATGCTGGAACTCCAGTATAATATACCAGCGTATTTTCCGGGTTTTGAACAGTGTTTTTGCTCAGATTTATCCTTACATGAAAAGTGGCTAAATTTCGATTACTTTTGAAATTGGGCTATTTTTGAACGACCAGTTGTAAATCTGGCTATTTTTAAATTTCTCCCTTTTATAATCACACAAATACTCTGAGCCATTTTTGACTTATTTAGGACTACAAATTTCAAAAGTCTTCATTTTTTTAAACTTCCTGCTCAGTCAAACAGGTTCACATAAATTGGAACGGAGGGAGTAGTAAAATAGAACACCATTAAACATGATGTACTGAAATTACAACCTCTCCGTTGCTGCTAAAAGAAACAATTTCTGGTGGTTGAATAGATTTTTTAGCAAAAGGTGGTAGGAGTGCAGAACTTTGAACCAACAAGGTAACCTTAATATTTTATTTTAGAGTATAGAAGAGAAAGAGTTTTGACATGTGTGCTTAGTGTCTTTTTAAAAAAGTTTGAGGGTAATTTAGTCATTTAGTATCAGCAGGCATTACTTGCCTACCCATAAGTCTACGTGTGATTGTTATATGACTCCATGTTTGCATCTCTTCTCTTTAACATCTTAATTCCCTTCTCTCTCTTTCTGCTCAACATTCCAATCTGAAAATTTCTAGCCGTGCACGGAGAAAAAGCAGTGCAACAGCAATTCATCGTAATCAAAGTGTAGCACCGAAAAAGGGCAAAAACGAGGTGATAATCCCTTTTTGAGTTGAAATTTGAGTTTGATCTTAAGTCTTTCTGCTCTATTGTTGCTCTATTCCAGCTTTTCTCCTTAGTTTCTTCTTCATTCTGACCATTAGCTTTTACTTGATTTCTAGAATATTTTCATTTGCTCTTTGTTTTTGGGATAACGTATAAGCTGAGTTATTAGTGGAGGTTTATTCTATATGGGTTTTATTTCAATAGCCACCATAGAGTTCTCTTTTATTTCTGAATAGTTTTTTCAGCTTTCTTCATTTTTTCATCTTGTTGTTGTAATTTTCAGGTCTACTCCTCTTTCAATTTTTTTCAGCTTTTTTTTGTTTGGTTGAATCTATTTTAGGGCTTCATTTTCTGATCTGATTTGATCTTTTGCAGTTACAGAGTAAAGTGTGAGGGAGAATTTAGAGTCAAAGGCACAATTAATTCTAAAGGTATTGCTTGAGGGATTTTTCCTCTTCTCCATCAACCTTCATCACGGACAGTGATAAACTGTTGACCACAATAGAAAGAAATTGAATTTACTGAAGGCTATTATATAATTTCCTGTACCTTTAGTATTAACTAATTTTGCACATGCATATACTCATTGACTAATTTGATTCAATCTTGCAGCTATTAATTATAAAAATTATACAAAAAGAACTCAAATAGAATGGAGAAAAGCTTTGCGTACAAAATTCCCAAAGGCCAGTAATGAACTTATGTTTTGCCAATTATTTGTTTAACATTTAGCTTGCTTGTGTTTTAAATTGAAGTTGGCAGATGATATTTAGCTTTTAAAAACCAGAAGTAAGGCAGTATGTCTAATTTTGAAGAGTTAACTAAAACAAGAACAACTAGGTTTACAATAGGGGAATGATGCTGATAAATCATTATTGTGTTATGAACTTGTAGCCAATATGATTGGATACTTCGATGAACGGCCAGCATAAGCATTTCTGCTTTGGTGATAATTTAAGTAAGTTCTGATAGGTTGTTTTCAGCAAATCATGATTTCACCTACTAAAAAGTTGAAAATTAGGTTTGTGGTAATAGAATATAAATCTTTTCTTGCTGGAAACCAATGTATGAACATCGATGAATTAGTTTTTATTTGCAATTCAATAAATTCATTTAATGTTTAATTTGGTTAACAACACACATTTTAAACCTCTTTGTAAGTTATTGTGCACGATACTCTAAATTTTGTTGTTGATGAAGAAGTATTTGGGATCTTTAGGTCTCTCCAATGGAGTAAGAGGAACAATTGAAGCTCTGAGATTTTCTTAAAATAAAATATTCAACCAGTTGAGGAAGAAGGACAGAGCTTTCTAAATGCTTGAAGGATAACAGATTGTTTGCCGAGACCTTGAGAGCTATTGTTTTAAGCCTTAGTAGCTAAATATTCTGATAGGATTTTTCGAAAAAGGGTCCTTGCTTAATTTATCAGTTGTGATAGCATTTACTTATTTTGTATTTTTATTTCCATTATTTACTTATACTTGATTAATTATTTTTCATTTCACTTTTTTATCTTATCCTTTCGTTGATTTTTGCAGTACATGAACCAATGCTCTGATTTTCATATGATGTTATCTTAAAATTATTTATGCTTCACTTTTATGATGACAGAAACTTAGAAGCACAAAAATGTCCGTGCTGCTTGCTGTCTGTAGCAGCAGCTGTCTGTAGCAGTGAACGTCTTGAGAAGGTATGTCAGTTATAAGTACAATATGCTGTAGTTATATTTTGAAGGCAAATTTTGTCCTGTACACCAACGAATAATGTTTGAACTATAGAGGCCTCCTTAACATATTTTAATCCTTTGTTATGAATTCCTACCAAGTTGTTAAACTATTTTTAGTGAAGTTATGTGAGGATCAATTGCTCAGATGATAAGCTAAATTAGTTTTGGCCCTGTTTGTTGGTTTTGTTTCTCAAGCCATGACCATTTTCATGTAAAGATTTGAATATCCCCTAATTATTCAAGAGGTCTGCTACTTCAGTAAGAAATATGGTGTCAAGTAAAGAAGAAGATAAAGCGTAGCTGATTCAAGAAGTGGAACAAAAAAAGCATTGTATACATCCAAAAAAGAACATTGAGTGAGGGAATAGGAGATTCTGAGGAGGGTTTGTTGCCATATGAAGTGTATTTTAATTGCATAATGTCATAATGGTTATTATATACAAAAGGTGCAACTGATCCGAGGTACTTGAATTCAATGTTCTCCAGTATAAAGTAAAGTATATTTACATGTTATCTATTTGACTCGTGCTCCACACGAGTTATCTCAGTTAATGTTTCCTCTTTCTTTTTTTCTTCTAATAAATCCAATTTTACCAGACTTTTGGCCATTTAATGAGTGATAGATTTAAGAATAGTTGTGGTTAAGTAAAACATTCTTTAGACTTTTGAATCATTCGACCTCGCATGTAGACCTAAGATTCATGCAACTCTAGGAATTGAGTAGTAAGTTATTCTTTACAGATGAAACAATAGTAAGAGGTGGACTAAGAACGACAGCTTAATTATTTTTAGTAAGAGGTGGAATAAGAATGACAAGTTAATTTTTTAAACGCTCACTGACACTGACTCATGAAAAATGCAGCTGAAATATGGCATCTTTATATCTCTTATTCAAGAACTGTATACTCTTCGCAAGAAAGGACTTCTTCTTAAGAATAGACCTCTGTTGTTTTCCATCTCTTAAGTTTTTTAAATTTGAGTTAATGTGCTGAGTAGTCTAAGTAGTTTAAGATTACTCTTTCTTCCCTTATAGTGTCATATTTATAAATCAATAACAATACATAGATTATTAGCGAGATTTTTTTGATTACCCATTGGTTATTGGGAGAAACTTTAGGCTCCTTCAGATGTGGTAAAACTGAAAACTAAGTAATAACTTGGTTTTCTATCTAACTTGAGAGAGTTTGAAAAGGAAATGAAGCTGTTATGAGTTAAATCCTTCCAAATTGTGTTTCATTCTCAAATTTTAGGGAAATAATGTTGCCTCAAGTTGACATATGTATGTGGATCAAGTTTCAATTACTTCGTGCATGCAAATTCATGCTTTCATGATCAAATAACAATCAGATTCTATTTCTGAATGATTTATGTGGCCCTTTCTACATTTTGATATAGAGTTGGTCATCTTTTCTTTTGACTATACTTTTAAAAAATTTCTTAGCTTTTGCTTTGCTGTAGGAAATTATAGGTTTCTTTGCTAACTACCTACTGCTTAGAATAAAAAAGATACATGTTTTAATGTGATTTTGTTTTTAAGTGATAGTTATATAAGTTAACCAAGTAAGGAACTGCTATTTAGACCGCAAACTATATCAACCATTGGCTATTATTTTATCCTTAATTACTTTTTCACCCCAGTGTCTCTTTCATGGAAAAGATTTTGATTTTCTTGAAATATTTGCTCTGCTGCTGCCTTGAAGGTTGGATTGATCTTTCGCTATTATGGAAATTCAAAGAATAGAAGTCACATTATAGAAGAAATGACTAAAGATCCTCAGGAGACGAGCCTAAACTCGGAGCAAGCTTCTGCCTAATTTACCTCTTATTATTATTGTGGCTGATTATAATGGAAGATATGGTATTTTAAATTGTATTCGAGTACATACATTGTTATTGTGCTCCCATGGATATAAATATTGTACTATTTGGTAACCATACATCTATTTATTGATTTCTTTCTGAAATACATGTCCCTAATTGTTGGATTGAGTAACCTTTTCTTTAAATTCTAATTTAGCCTTTGCCGTTAGCACTAGCATGGTTATATTTTCTGCACCATCAACCAAATATTTGAAAAGCTAAGCTTATGATATCTAGATGCAGGTAGTAGTAGAAACAGGAGTATGAAGTGTTTTGCATTCTATTTATACCTTTCAACTACTTTGGACTCAAATTATACAATTAGTATGATAAAATGGAAGAGGTTGCTGCTTGAAATCTGTTATTCAATAATTATTTTCTGTTGAATAGTTCAAATACATGACTTAGCAACACTACTACTAGTATACTTCTCTCATCAAATGGCATTTTCCTGTTGTCTTTGATTCGTACTTTCTTGAAGAGTAATTTCCTCCCCTAGATATGTCATCGCCTCCTATTCAAAGCATTCATGCAACCGTGCATTGCTAAATACTAAAATGTTGTAGATCACAAATGTCTTAATAGAACAGAGCAGCATAGCAATGTTAAGAACATCTCTATTTGATAATCCATCGTATAATACAGTCGCATGGCAATGTCAAAAATAATTTAAAACATCTTTATGTTGGGCCTGTACATAAAGAGAAGTTTTTTGTTATTAGATTCAAACAAATCTAGTTAAAACTAGCTGTATCTCACCACTTTCCCTTGAATATAAAAAAGGAAAAAATATTTTAATCCACTACTTGCTGCGAACACTAAGCATTATATATTTTTAAATACATATTTAAGGGCAAGGGAAAAGACACACAGGAGAGGATTAAAAGATGGACAATGGAACTCTCACAAATAAGGTAAAAATTCAGGTAGCCAATCAACTGGATTACTAACAAGGTGGGGAATATATGGAACTCACCACTAGGATGAAAACCGAATCTCCTCAAATAATATCATTATTATTTCGATTGCTATTATATATGGAGTACTCCATTCTCACAAGTCACAGGCAATAGATACACATTACACACGTAACAAGAGATACCCCACAACACGAACACGCACGTGATAAAATAATAACACACCGACAGAGCAATAGTGGTAGTTTTACAAAACATCTGCTTCTGTCCCTCACTCTTCTCCTCGTTTCCGCAATTTGGGAATGACAAGAAGTGGATCTTTCTTAAACATTGTGATATCCAAAGTCTCATCCATGTTAATATGAGCAGGATCCATGTCATTTGGCAGAATCCAATCAAACTTATGGATAAAAGAAGCGACAGCTATTGGAATAAACCTAGAAGCCAGAGGTTCTCCTGCACATATTCTTCTTCCGGAACCAAAAGGGATATACTCAAAATTTCGTCCTTTGTGATCTATTTTTGCACTGATAAATCTTTCTGGCTTGAAGCTTGAAGCATCATCCCAAATCTTAGGATCCCTCGCAATTGCCCACATATTCACCAAAACTTGGGTGTCTTTCGGAATTCTGTAGCCCATGACTTCACACGTTTGGACGGCACGGTGAGGAAGTAGCAGCGGTCCAGGAGGATGCAACCTTAGTGTTTCCTTAAAACAAGCATCCAAGTATGGTAATTTTGACAAGTCAGACTCCTTTACAACGTCCTTATCTCCTACTACTCCCGCGATTTCATGCCGAAGTTTTTGTAAGGCTTGTTCATTTCTGAGGAGTTCTACAACCATCCATTCGCTTGTAGCAGTTGTTGATTCTGTACCCGCTCCAAACATTTCCTGAGAGATAGAACATAGAAATAGTAGTTAATAAGTTATTTCGCATATGGAATATGGCTTTTAAGCACAACCATTGACCTTTTTTCCATACAAATACGTGAAAAAGGGATAGAAATTAAAGCATGTGACGCACCACAAGCAATGCATTGATTTGTTTATCGCTGAAACCATTTTTAATCAAAGCATCTATAAAATCTACAGTATCCGTGGAAGGTTGACTGTCTGATTTATTTCTTCTGTCCTCAACAATCCCTGCCCAAACAGCACAAAGTTTATCAAACAAACCCATAAGTTTCTTATATGTTCCCTGGACATCCGAACTGCAAACACCCAATATAGGATACAAATCTGCTAACTCCAGGATTCCACCCGCCGCCGTAAATTTGCGCAGGTACTCCCTCAGTTCTTCACCCACTCCCTTGCCCTCAAAATCAATCAAATCTATCGAAAGAAGCAAATTACCCAATATGTTTAAAGCGCTCACGAAAACCACGCCCTTGATACTAATCACTTCGCCTTGTTTGGTTGTCAAATGTTGCATCATTTCCTTGACTTTCTTCTCCCTCAAACATACCTGAGATTCTAGAGCTTTCGTGGAAAAGAGCGCTCCCCTGTATATGGTACGAACACTTTTCCAATTATCGTCACACTCTTCTAGAAAAGCAGTTGACATGTTGTGAAGTAATGACCCCTTGACTCGGATGGGATGAGAAACAAAACGGCCAGAAAGCATACGATCATGTGTTTTCAGAACCTCAGCAGCAGCAGTAGGGGATGAAGCAACAACCACGAGTCGTGTGCCGAACCTTATGGACATGAGATCACGACCATGTGATTGCGCTAGCTTTGCAAGAGCGGCATGAGGACGTTTTCTACCAACTTGGAAAAGGTTCCCGACTAATGGCAATGGAAATGGGCCTGGAGGAAGTGGTAATTGTGTTTTTGATGAATATAGATACTTCAACATGATTACGAAGACGAGAGAAACTAGAATTGAAGTGAATATGTAATCGATCATCTCTACAGATTTGAAGGTTGCTAGTTTTATGTTGGGATTGCAATGAGAAACTGCATTTTGTAGCTCTCTCGAGCCATCATATATAAAGGGTAAGATTATTAGCTTTGCTATTTGCAGATGTTGACCAATCACCTGAGGTAATTAAAAATACCTTGTCCTTCAATAGGAGTGCGGTTTATTTACTGTGGAGATCATCGCGAGATTTGAAATGATACGGATGTCTCTTTAATATTTAGTGCGCGCGGTTTACTTTTTTTTTTATTTCAATTTTCTGATTCGTACACTCTTCAAATTAAATCATTGTTCGTTTTACTTTATTTAATTTTCAAAAGGTGCACGTGAACTATGCTGAATTGTCGTTTATGCCATGTTTTAGAATTACGTAAGCAGACAGGATCTATCCGTTTGATGCGTTTTTGTTTACCTTTTTAGAGCATTAAGCCATAACAGCCCCTCAGTAATGGCCCCAATCCACCGCTCCATTTCCACCCAGCCAAGCACTGTGGCCAATGGAGCTTTGACATTACTTTTCATATTCCACGTTTTTCTTCTTCTTAAAAATTCACATCCTTATAGATATCAGTGGAATCTCATTTGAGACTAGAACGTACTCACTCAATAAGGAGAATGTATGCTCATTCTAAATGCGTTATCGTTTATGGACCGTAATAATGCAGAGCTGTAATTAGAATTGCAGATTATGAATCCTAATTATCAGCATATAAAAACAATCCTCGTATGTATACATATGGTTCGACCAAAAAGATTTAGACTTTTTATTTAACTAATTAAATAAGAAGATTTGAGCCAAATCCTAGCCAAAGATAATTTATCCTAGATCTAAGATAGAAGATAAGAATAAGCAAACATAACTGAACATAAGATTCAACTAAAACAATAATTGAATCCCATATACAAGGAAAGGATGGTGATTTTCATAATATTAAATGATAACAAAGAATACATAGATAAAAAGGGTCATCGTTCTTGAACAAGGTTGATCCCCCATACACTTTGATCTAGTGCAATTAATGAGGGATATTGAGGATCTCAGCTTCCTCTCTCCTTTCTCCTTGACGAGGAGCCAGGGATGAAGATCTTCCTTGATATGTAAAGATATGTCTATCTCTGTGTGTGACTTTTGTGTCAGCCCCCTTTTTCTTCATTCCCTCACTTAATATATATACTAGGTATTCTCATTTACATAATGGTCATTAGCCAGAATACCTAAGCCATTTAACTATTTTACAAATTGACCCTCTGAAATACCATAACATCCAACTTGCTACACAAATATTCTGAGTACACGACCTCGGCCCTGAGGTGCTCGTCGCTATAGCGTTGTACGAATACGACTTCGGCCCAAATGACCGTCGCAGCTCCTCTTCACGCAGATTCTTGTTTGGTCAGATTTCGACCCATACAGTTAGTCCTTCCCCCTATTGGGCTCATCTTTCGGCGAGATCGATGGGCGGACCCTGTCGATTCGAAAGTTGTGAGAAATCTGAACACTTTGGGCGATGGGCGAGTACCTTGTAGCGAGGTAACGAAGTAACATTTCGAGAGCTGCATCAGACCGTCACATCAGTTCAGAATGTCATTAAAAACTCCTCATGCGTTATTATGGTGCACGTTCTCTATGCATTGCGTCGTTTCCCGTGCCCTTTCCATTTTCAAAATGGCGGCGTTTGGTTTTCCCGCTCAGGGTATATATATCCATATAAATAGGGAAAAATACGACATTTCAATACAGTGCTTCCCAATCGCTTCAAGAGAGACTTTTGCGACTTTTCTTCTTCTCCTTCAATCTCTCACATTTCCCTTTCTGTTAAAATTTTTTGTGGCCGCTACCTTTTAGCCTTGTCCTTCCCGATTTTCGCAATCAAAGAAGAGATGGATAGTGCATCCTCCAACCCTGATAGAGCCGTTGGTTCCCGGTGCCGGAAAATGATATACCCCCACTCGAAGAGGGAGTGGTTATGGTGGAGGATGAAAGTTTTCCGATGGTGGGATGAAGTGGTCCCCCGCTCAGGGAAGGCAAGGACTGAATTCAATAGCCCTGCTGGGGATGAGCCGGAACCTGTTCCTTCTACGATGGATGTCGCGGAGCTTGTGACATTTAAGGCCAAATAGAGAATCCCTGAGCATATTGAACTCGTTCCAGTAGGTTCTGACGTTGTGCACATACACCGCCCAAGATACTGCGCGTTCTATGCATATCCTTTTGTCATCGAATACACGCTTCCCCCCCCCCCTCTAGCGGAGGATTTTTGCCGCTTCTATGAGGTGTGTCCGGTTAAGCTTTC